GTATAATACTGTATAAGTAGTATTGGGTAATGAACTCGAACCATTGTGTATTTAACTCAAAGTTTGCTACAGTAGGCTCCATTCTTTAACTATGGGTCATCCGTAAATCAGGCATTCTTAACCTGGGGACTCCCTATATATGTGTGTATATGTACACATGCTGGTCAAAAGCTGCAATAAACTTTTATCTACCTACTATTTATTACAGCACACATGACTAGATTTTGCATAGCAGCATGTAAGATCCACTGGACCTTGATAGCTCAAGTTCCTGCTACATAGGTGTATTTTATGTAATTGTAGATGTTATCACATTTTATGTAATTTTAAATATTATCTCACTTATAGCCTAGATGTAGATTGGATTAACTCATGGGTCCCAGTCAGGCTGTTTTATAGATGTATTGTAATTTTGTTTTAAATTTTTATTTACTTGTTTCTTAAGCTAGACTCTTTTATTGGTGCTTTCAGATCACTTATGGACACATTTCTTGTACTGGTCTGAGACTACAATAAAATGACTGACATCTCCCCTTTGGATTTTTTTTGTGACTAAAAAGTGGGATATTATACAGACAGAAGAATACTGGTCTGTTTTGCATCTGTATTGACTGCTGTCAACATTGCTTTTGTTATTAGACTTTCATTTTTGCATACCTGTCCTATGTACTTACTACACATGGTTTTATTAAACACTCCTTAGTTTATACCAAATTTCTCTGTGCTTAGTTCCCCCTCCCACACACCTCTTATTGTATATTTTACTTCTTTCTGCCCTTACATTTGCAGATTCCTCCATTCCATTTTGGGTTGTGTTTTGATCATTACTTTTTTGTTCCTTTCATAATGGCTGGAGTATCTGCCACAGGTACACTAATTCCTGCAAAGTGTTTTAGGAGGATGAATGCCCCACATGTTAAATTCCTGAAAGCAAAATAATTAATGGCATGTTTCATATTAATTAACCTTTTATTTTACCTAAATCTCACTGATTTTGATGGCATTCTTTTCAAGTGAGTTTCTAACCCCAGTCTTATTTTTATTTCCAATCTAAAATTCCACCAAAAAGTGTCTTTTTCCCCAGGGTAATACAGTGCACCAACAGTGAAAACCACTCGCTTTCTAGAGGAAGGTTTTGTATCCATTGCCCCAACTCACAATGTAATGTTCGCTGTCCTTATTAGAAGGGGGATGATAAGTATTCATCAGGTTATCCCGACAAATGTTTATTTCCTTTATTGAAAAATAAATAGCCTATTTCTCTGTGGGGTTGTACCCTTTTTAAGAAGAGTGAGGATTGATGGATGCTCCAGTCATGGGTGTCCGCAGGGGAGGTAAAATAATGTCAAGATCATGGCTGCAGCTGTACAATGGAAGCCCCGCCCCTTATTACATGGGTCACCGCACACAAAAAGGGGTGGGGCTTCCATCACACAGCTGCAGCCATGATCTTGACTTTTTTGATCCCAATTCCATCTAGTCTTCGTCCATCAGGAATAATATGCTTGTAACTCCCCAATACTGTACCTTCTTACCTCCCTATTTCCTCTGATAATAGTATTATTCTGAAATGATGCTATCCCATAATTTAAAAAGAAAACAATAAGAAAAAAAAAACCAGTAGTGAACAGGAACTGACTACCAAAAGCAGCGTATCAGTAATGTACCACACTGAACAGGAAATAATTAGAAGCTGAGTGCAAAATCTAACAGCAGCTTTCAGCCTGCATGAAACAGACATTGCTCAATAAACACCACCAGCAGAACTTTTTAGCTGTCCTCAGTTTCAGTTTCACGGCATTCCTAAGGCATCGAGAAATGCCCAAAAAGATATATGTCTTGGTCAAACAACAAACGCTTTGCTTTAGTGAGTGAGAGGGTAGGGATGGGACAAGGTAGGCAGTGTCCTGGATTCAGAATAAAAATATGGGAACCGAAAACAAGGCTTAAGGTTGTTTCAAGGTTGACTTCAGTTTGGAATCAACCTGAAATTTGTCTTCTCATTTCACATACCATGTTGAACCTGCATCAGTAGAAAAATAAAGGGGAAAATAAGCATAAATAAGGACACAGCAAATTATGTATGTGGGGGAATTTCACCCTTTTCTCCCAGGCTGCTTTTCTCCTTATACCTGCTGCTTTCAGTAGTTAAAAAATAACTGCAAGTTCTTACAGTCCTTCAACCAGTGAAACAAGGAAGTGTAAAAGCAATTTAAAAATAAAGAAGTGATAATGCCCTGCTGATTTATATGAACGGAAGCTTACAATTTTACCACAGAGTCTGTATATTGTGATGCATATTATAAGAAAAATACAGCGTATTATGCATCACCCACACAGGATAGACATTTGGGAGTCTTGCATACACCTGTACCAATGTTAAGTACAGCATCCTTAGCTGTGGAGGCCAGGAATAACACTACACTCAGGACCTGTTCCATGATAACATGGCAAACAAACAAGCAAGGGAAGTGTTTTGTTTTAGATTTTTTATCCTGCCTTTATTACTTTTTTTTTTTTGTAAGTAACTTAAGGCAGTGAGTATACCTAATACTCCTCCCTCCTCCTACTTTCCCCACAACAACAGTCCTGTGGAGTGGGTTGGACTGAGAGAGAGTGACTGGCCCAGAGTCACCCAGCACCTTAACCACTACGCCAAACTGGCTCTCTGCAAAAGTTTAATTTAATTCCCACTGCTACAGTTCAAAGTAAATAATCGACTAAGGAATGAATACATCTCTGTCCTCACTATCCTAAAGATTTCAGCTTTCCTGTTGAATTTGTATCAAGCTCTTTTCACTGAACCATTTATACAATGCCTGGATATGAAGCAAGCACTTTAGTGAGTGAGAGGGTAGGGATGGGACAGGGTGGGCAGCGTCCTGGATTCAGAATAAAAATATGGGAACCGAAAACAAGGCTTAAGGTTGTTTCAAGGTTGACTTCAGTTTGGAATCAACCTGGAATTTGTCTTCTCATTTCACATACCATGTTGAACCTGCATCAGTAGAAAAATAAAGGGAAAAATAAGCATAAATAAGGACACAGCAAATTATATATTTGGGGGAATTTTACCCTTTTCTCCCAGGCTGCTGTTCTGAGGAAAAGTGCTGTGATCCATGAGAGAGATCCTCCCATTGCATGTATCAGCTTCAGAATCTCAACACAGGAAGGGTGAGCCCTTCATTCTGGCTTTAATTGAGATAATTATGATCTCTTCTGCCCTAATGGAGCTACTATCTGCATCATTTAAAAAACAACAACAACCCTATAAACTCAATCAAAAAAATCATTTATGGTCATTTCTCTGTCCATGAGGTTAACATTTAGTAATTGATTCATACAATAAGGTAAACCCGCCACCCCAGTTAACAAACATGCTATGTCTCCTCTGCAATAATAAACCATATCATGGCTTAACAGGATCTCCTGCTTCTAGCCTTCCTGCCACAAAAACAGAACTATGAAATAATGAACCCACATATTCTTAATTTGTTTAGGAATACCATTTAGGAATAGTTTATAGGAATATTTGTTTAGAATAGTTTTTCTAGTGCTTTCATTGGTAGCATTTGTTATATCAATGTGGAATTATCTTCTTTCTGAAATTTGGAAGGTGTTTGCTATAAACATTTTTGGTCACCTGTTAAAAATTCACCTCTTCATCCAGGACTTCCTGTTATGAATATTTTAAGAACGTTTGCCCTCTCCACTGTTCATTTACTGAATATTGTTTCATATCATTTTAATGCATTGTTTATGTTATTGTTTTATTTATAAATTGTTACAAGTAGTTTATATGCTTAAAATTATTCTAACTGAAAAGGAAAATATTTTATATAGTTCCATTAAGAAATGTGCATGCAACTATTTCCAACCAGTGCAGATCAGAAACGATTGCCTAACCTATTCAAAACGGTAGAAAAGCACAAAAATTCGAAAAACGATAAAATGGAGGATCGCATTAGAGCTTCTTGCTGCAGCACCACGGCACAAGCTTCCCGAACCATCGCCCTGAACCAGGAGCTCCGCCCCTCCGCTCCATTGGCCCACTAGAGGAAGGGGTCGCCCAGCGCGATGTGTTTGCGTCACGGCTCCGAGAGACCAGCGGCCAATGGGACCTACCCGCTCGCGGGCTCCCGATGGGCGGCAGCATGCGCAGGAGGAGAAAAGGGGCGGGACCCGAGGGGGGGCGGGGCCCTGGAGTCACGTGAGGCGTCCCCACCGATGTGGTCAGCGACTGAGGGGTCACGTGATTCGTTGCCTACGCGCAGTGGG